TCCCTTCGGGATTCCTTCCAGCATGACTGAACAACTGATAACTCCTCTCTGGGAACGATTTTCCAACCAGTTATGAACCCACCTTATAGTAGCTCCATCTAAGTTGTATTTCCCTAGTTTGTTTATGAGAAGGACGTGCAAAACCATATCAAAAGCCTTAATAAAGTCTAGATATACTACATCTACCACTTCTTTCCCCCCCCCCCATCCACAAGGCTTGTTACCCCGTCAAAGAAAGCTATCGGGTTGGTTTGACACGATTTGTTCTTGACAAATCCATGTTGACTGTTATTTATCACCTCATTTTCTTCTAGATGTTTGCAAATTGATTGCTTAATTATTTGCTCCATTATCTTTCCGGGTACAGAAGTTAAGATGACTGATCTGTAATTCCCCAGGTTGTCCTTATTTCCCTTTTTATAGATGGGCACTATATTTGCCTTTTTCCAGTCTTCTGGAATGTCTCCCATCTTCCATGACTTTTCAAAGATAATTGCTAATGGCTCAGATATCTCCTCGGTCAGCTCCTTGAGTATTCTAGGATGCATTTCATCAGGCCCTGGTAATTTGAAAACATGCTGCCCACTTCTTCTTTACGTCACCTGAAAGTGAGAACAGGCGTTCGCATGGCACAGTTGTAGCTGGCGTCACAAGACATTTACATGCCAGATGCGCTGAAGATTCATATGTCCCTTCATGCTTCAACCACCCGGATGATGGATTTTGCTTGATAATGATCCAAAGCAGAGCGGACTGACGCATGTTCATTTTCATCATCTGAGTCAGATGCCACCCACAGACATTTGATTTTCTTTTTTGATAGTTCGGGTTCTGTAGTTTCCGCATCTGAGTGTTGCTCTTTAAGACTTGTGAAAGCTCCACACCTCATCCCTCTCAGATTTTGGACGGCACCTCAGATTCTTAAACCTTGGGTCGATGCTGTAGCTCTCTTTAGAAATCTCGCATTGTTACGTTTTTTGCATTTTGTCAAATCTGCTGTGAAAGTGTTCTTAAAACTAATGTGCTGGGTCATCTTCAGAGACTGCTATAACATGAAATATACGGCAGAATGTTGGTAAAACAGAACAGGAGACATACAATTCTCCCCCAAGGAGTTCAGTCACAAATTTAATTAACACATTATTTTTTTTAACGAGCATCATCAGCATGGAAGCATGTCCTCTGGAATGGTGGCTGAAGCATAAAGGGGCATACGAATGTTTAGCATATCTGGCATGTAAATACCTTGCAAGGCTGTCTACAAAAGTGCCATGTGAACACCTGTTCTCACTTTCCGGTGACATTGTAAATAAGAAGCAGGCAGCATTATCTTCCGTAAATGTAAACAAACTTGTTTGTCTTAGCGATTGGCTGAAAAAGAAGTAGGACTGAGTGGACTTGTAAGCTCTAAAGTTTTATATTGTTTTGTTTTAGAGTGCAGTTATGTAACAAAAATCTACATATGTAAGTTACACTTTCACTATAAAGAGATTGCACTACAGTAGTTGTATGAGGTGAATTGAAAAATACCATTTATTTTGTTTATCACTTTTACAGTGCAATTATTTATAAAAAATAATAATGCGAGCACTATGCACCTTGTATTCTGTTATAGAAATCAATCTATTTGAAAATGTAGAAAAATAGCCAAATATTTAATAAATTTCAATTGGTATTCTATTGTTTAACAGTGCAATTAATCGCAATTAAGTTTTTTAATCATAATCAATTTTTTTGAGTTAATCGCGTGAGTTAACTGCGATTAAGCAACAGCCCTATTTCAGACCTTAAAATCTACGAGTCTGTGAAGGAAGGGTGGGGACTGTTGGGTATTTGAGGATATTAAGGCCGGGGGAAGCCACAACCGTGGGTCTCACATGGTGACAGATGCACTGAAAACACTTTGATGGACACACTGAGAGGTTGGACCAGGCATTGTCTGTTGCATTTGGCCCATGGTACGTTCTGACGGCTTTAAAGGAGAAGTGCATAATTAAAATAACCCA